TACATATAAGTATTTCCATTTTTGTGTGTGTAAACATGAAAATCTGTAACTGCTGGAACCTAACTTAAAGCACATACATAGGCAAGAGATCATCACTTAAAATTAATTTTGCTTTAATGTTTACTGTTTTCCCTGATTGGTTTGGTATTTTTTTTATCCTTGCAGATATGATGAATATCTTAAATCCAAGATACACTGCAGCGACCCACAGCAGCCATCCGTGTCGCAGTTCATTGTGCCCCAGACGGGGTGCCATACATATCCATTATATAGAGAGAAATCCTGAAATGTTTTCCTCAAAAAAACAATTTCTTAATGATCGAGGAAAGAAAGACATGAACATATTGGATGACAAGGGGGTGAGTACTGTACATTATCTGTACATTGTTGTTGTCAAAGTAAACTAATCCTTTCAGATTGAATTGCATTATACATTTTAGACTGGATTTCTTAGTTTTAAACATTTTGTGTAAGCAACACAATTTTATTTTCAGATATTAATGTAGCACAGCTATGCATATAATTTAAATATAGCAATGCAAATAAGATACATAATATATGTATATAAGTTCAACTTTTCTGTAAATTTTTTTCTGTGCAAAAATAAACATGTATCGAAAATTTAACCTCTGTTTGTTTTATTACTGCAACTTGACTTGACTTGGCTTGAAACTTATCAGGACTCGACTTGACTTGCTTAGGGTGAACCCTTGACTTGACTTGCTTGATTTGTCTTAACTGTGACTTGAGACTTGACTCGAGACTTGATGGTTAACACTTGAAACTTGCTTGGACTTGATCATATGTGACTTGTCCCCATCTCTGACTTTAACCATACAATACATACTTCTTTGTTTGTGGCCACACGAAAAGGCCATATACAACCTCCCAACATGAACTCGGTTTTTGCCACTCCAGTATCCCAGTTACTCAGACAACCACTTGCTCGGATGTTGAATAATAAAAAAAAAGAGTTTACGAAAAAGGTGAACTTTTTCAAAATCACCAAAAGTATGAAATCATAATGGATGTGTAACCAAAAAAAATCAATATCAATACTACTAACTGCAATCAGTGACGGAAGGGTCCAAAGCGTCGGAAGTTCGTCCAGGTCGGACAAACGGTAGAGGAGTAACGTCTGACAACTGGAAGACTGACTGTCGGCCAGGGTACTAAAAAGTCAGACAGAACTACATAGTCCTGTAACAGGATGGAGATTTCTGACTGTAGGTCAGCAGATGTCAGACAGAATGTAGAAGCCTCCGGTGGAGTTACTGAGCCTGTCTGGTTTGGGTCAGATGGTCTGAGTAGTATGTAGAAGTAGGCACCTTCCAACCTAATGTGGTCAATCGCAATCTTACAGGTTAAAGTGTTTATTCTGGCTGAATGAACTTGGTCTGTCTTGCATATTCAGAACACTACTGGGGGACTGCTCCCCTATGAACGAAATGCGGCCTGCCTCATACAGTGTCCCCAGAATGAGAGGTAGGATTTCAAATTTGGTTAAGGTAGGCCAAGGCACGGCCAAGTTATAGCAGTCAGACTGAAATGGACCAAATTTGGGCAGGGTTTGGGCGTGACTAGTGGCCATACGATAGACAAATGTCAGACTTTTTTAATAAGTATTGATCAGCTCAGAGGACTGATTGGTTTGACACCTCATTTGTCTGATTTGGTCGGACGAGGTAGGACTAAGGCAGAAGTAAGTTTTGCAAATTAGCAAAAAATCTCGACACTTAATAGTTTCACTCTGAAAGTTGTAGGGAATGGCTGCCTGTGTCTGTAGAAAAGAGAATCCTGATGGTAGGACAAACAGGACATGAGATATCGGCCAAAACGTGCGTGTGTGTGGGGGGTAGGGGGGGGTTCAGCGCCCCCATCTGACTGACTGACTTGGGTCGGATGGTCTGAGTAGTGGGTAGGAATTGACATCTGCCTGGCTTATGACACTTAATGTCTGATGCGGGAACAATCTACAATATACAACAACACATTAACATTAGCTCAAAACTATATACATTATACTCAACAGCATTTGTGGACACACACTCACACACGCAAACCCTCCCCAGTCCCAGCCGGCATATAATCTGAACTTAAACTCAGCCGTTGGCCTGGATCGATGCTCGCGTTTGGTGTGGCTCAAAACGAGCAACTGAACATAAAACTGGGTCCCTTAATCCAAAGTGTTCCTGTAGTAGTTAATTCACCGCACCACTTAACTGCACTGTTACTTCTGCATATTTGCCATATTGAATAAAATGTGGAACCGGTTCTATATAAATAATGCTTTACAACATTAAAATATAATTATTTCTACAATATTTTTCTCAGTATTTGTGGTAGTGTCCTTCCTTTCTGACTGAATGACATGTTGCATAATGTGCATCTCATTGGCTACAGTCTGCAGTACAGACATCTTACCATCAGTGACTGACAGGGAAACCCGATCTCCAACATCTGAACCTTCACTGATCTTCACACCACAGGAGTAGTAACCAGAGTCCCCAGCTGTCAGATTGTTGATGGTCACAGTGAAGACTTGCTGGTCAGGATCATCTCTGATTGACACTTTACCCTCCTGTGGAGAGTCACTGTGTACTATGGGAGGACATGAATCCCTATAATGTCCTCTGCACCAGTATTTCACATGAGTTTTATATCTGTCACTATAGAAACATGGGATGGTGACAGATTCTCCTCTCCATGCAGACACCCAGTTCACCGTGGAGACATTGTCAGCATCTGTGGGGAATAAATAAATATTTTCCACATCACAGCATCTCTAAGTAATACTGCTTGGTGTATAATACTTGGATTAGGGTCATGTGTGTTTAGCAGAACCATGAAGATGCTGTAAAAGACACAGACTGTCATTTTGCTATACGAATAAGAGAGAGAGACACAGGAAAGCAAAAGCAGTGTCTGATCTTGGGAAGAGCTACAGCGGGATGTGGGATCGGGAATCTGAGCCTGGGAGTGTGTTCTAGGGTCTGAGAGGAAAACCAGGACCTTAAATCAGTAGTAAAAGGCCCAGATGAGGTGAATGAATGGGCTGGTCACTGTGTGGGATGGCCACACCCCTTCAGTACTATGGCCTTACTTGTAAACATATCCAATGCTGTGATACAGGCCCTCTCCTATTCCCTCTATACATGCTTCCTTTGGGCTCTATTTGTGAATGTTATAATGTAAAATATCATTGCTATGCTGGTCATACGCAGCTCTATCTGCCATTAAAACCTGGTGACTGCTGCTCTCTGACGGCCCTTTCTGACTGTCTTGAGGATATTAAGAACAGGACGGCAATTTTTGTGTAATTAAAAGTCCCAAAAGCCACTGGAAACCACGCAAGTTGAAGACAATTTTTTTAAAAAATTCCTGAGCCACTGGAAACTAATGTAGACATGTTAGACACGTTGTAACACATGAGTTGGTCTGGAAGCGTGTGACTTAGCTGGCTGACCAGGGCAACATGGAATTTCAGCCACATCAATTATGTAACAAGGAAGAGGAAGAGACACTTGTAACTGTCTGGACCAGCTACACCGACTTGGTAAGTGAGAACGCAGCAGCTCGGCGGATAGCTTGGCTCAACATGGTCACTAATCCTAAGATACTGATTAAACAGCTAAAGTAACTTTATTAACGGTTGACTTCCTCAGCCTGATCCAGCATTAGAGTCATTATCATGTTCCTCCATGGGCTCCAACCACAGGCCACGTGTGAACAGTTAAGCAAAATTATTTTTGTACTTCAGGTGACCTGAGGGATGTTAGTTTCTCACAGGAAGAAACTACAAATGACCCGACAGGGAGGTCGATCGCGGTAGTGAGGGCAGGGGCGGAGCCTGGACTCGGGTCGACCTGTCCATCACAGACAGACGTGCTGTCATTGGAGCTTCTGTAGCTGGTCACGCCCAAAGCGACTCCCATAGTGAAACACCGAGTGAAGTTAGAAAAAGAATCAACTGTGCTGCTGAAACGACCCCAATCAGATCAATCTCCGGCGTCACAGAAAAGCAAAGGGTGCAAGAGACAAGGACAGATTATCTACACTGACAGAGTCTTTGTACTGCTTAGACACTAAAAGAGAGACATGACAGTATCATGCAGTATATTTGGATATTATAATATCAATATCCTGATTAATGGTGGTTTGGTCCTGTCTTAAATCTTAGAATTCAGGAGAAATATTACAATCGTTAATAAATACAAATAACGCAAAGTAACTATATCAAGTGATTCCATTTGCAGGCTCAAACATTTTTTTAAAATATGTACAAAGTGGTTTGTTATAAACACCTGCAAGAATGCAAATACTATTTGCAATTTTCAAGACAATGTTACTCGAAGCAGCCATTTCCAAATCTTTTCACAATTTACTTACAGCAATTTCTTCTGACGTAGAGAGATCTCTACTCAGTTCCACTGTAATGAGTGACACTCACCTGTG